ATGATTTATCGTCATTGGAAAGAATTCTTTAAAGGTTGTTGAAGTGTTATTGCTTTGACTGTTTGTATGCTAGAACATACATGCCATACTTGCACAAAGCAACTTGTATACATAATTTTCAGCCTGCATGTTGAAATCAGTGTTCAGTTATCTTACTGTTGTGCAGGACATTCCTCATGAATTCGGAAGTTTCCTTTTAGAATCAAATGAGTTCATGACTGCTGATTCAATATCTACATGTTTTTATATGTGGTGTGGAATATAATACTGCATTTGTTTACTATTTGTGAAAAGCTTGGAGCAGATTCCCAGGAGTTGTAGTCACTATTTAGCTTTCGCAGCATGTTTCAATTCTATTTTTAGTCTATTTATTATGTTTCCTTGCTGCAGAAAGTCATGTAAAACATGATAAATTGAATCTTATGAAGCCTAATTAAATCAGTGACTGTGTTCTGCTGGCTCTTTTATGCAGAAACCGCAAGTATGTTGTAAAAGTTGCCACTCCCCTAATATGTGGATAAAGTCAAAGTGTGCTGTAATTCTAAGATGTTTGAGCTATATTTGTGCAGTCCATTTTGTGGCTAAGCCACCAATGACATGTCTGAATAAGTAGCTTTGACAGGTAGGCTAACCACTCCTAAGATTTTTGGTGTTAAAACCTGTCTCCATTTTCCATTTCTCATCCATACGGTTTTTAGCACAGTTACTGATTGTTTGTCAGCATGAACTCTTCATCTGTTCCAGCTAAGTTTTTGTATTTTTAACAGCTGCTACATTGAAAAATGTTCAGAATAGCTACAAAATTTGCTTCGTGTGCATGGCAAGGAGATTTTTGGAATTCATTCAGTGATAATTTGCTCTGAGATATGGGAAAACTTTATTTGGTATGTGAATATCAGCATGTTTACATGAAATTAATGTCAAAGATACAAAGCTGTAGTCAGAAGGATTTAGTTACAGTTCTAAATGTATCAATCTAGTGATACTCCAGGATGGATTTTTTCTCTTTTTTTAGCTTAGTCTTTCTCATTAAGACTGCATTTCACATTTGAAAGCTATCTTTAGCAAATTAACATGTTGGCTAGTATTATTTATCTTCACTTTCTTTGTTGTGTTTTAGTGTTAGGATTTGAGAGTGTTTTGTTCACCATCAGGAATCTCTGGGTGAATTTTACCTAATGATGTAAATCATTTAAGTACATGCTTTGATTAATGATGTTATGGAGATATGCTCTTCATGTACTTTCCTTGCCAGCCTTGTGTATAGTTTATTCACTGTGAAATAAAAGGGCAGGGAGGTCACTTGCTGTAATTAAAGAACAAAGTCTATTGTTGTTTGACAGCAAACTGTTTTGAAAGCTACATAAGGGATTTAGCTGTTAAAAACATTGATAAGTATGGGTGTCTAACAATAAGCACAGCTCAAGGTTCTTAAAGTTCTGTAGTGCTGTCTAGTAGTGTGACGATGCTTTTTGAGCTGGGTGAAGAGGTGTTGCCCTTTGGCCGAGGAAAGCTTTCCGTGTGAACCTGCTGACCTCTGACAATATGTATGACCAGATCTTCTATTGAATTCCTGTGCAAAGCAAGAGTTAGTGTAGCACAATGGAGGCTGGTCTAGAACATCTATCAAAGAAAGTAGGGAAGCTGATAACCATATTCGGAACTACTGGAAAAATAATTCACTTTGGGCATTAGTAATTTTACAATTTTAATAACTTTGTAAATACCCAGTAAAGAGGAAAGAACTGATTGTCCAGATGTCATGAGGTTAACCGTGTTCTCCATGTTAAAGGTCTTTCCTGCAAGACTGTTTTAATTATAGCTATATAAAGACTTGTTTTTCCAAAGTAGCATTTTATAGTCCAATAAATGAAATGTATGTTAAAAGTGCTAAGCAAAATCTCCCGTAATCATAGAGGTGTTCAATAACCAGATTCAAGTAACATGGAAAGTACCATCTGTTTCTAGTTTTCAGCATAAGTGCAGGAATTGAAAAGCTGAGATTTGTTTGTATTTTTCCGACTCTCTTTATTTTTTAAATTATTATTATCATTATTTTAAAAACTTCACCTGGCACTTTATAGAAGCTTTCTGAAATGCAATAATACAAGAGAGACTGTGAAAACACATGTTCGTACACACCGTTAACCAGTTCCACTTTCATTTAAAGAGATTTCCAGAAGCTCAGTCATTGAAGAATTTATAATAGTGAATCACCTCCTGCAGGCAAACACAATAAGGGTCAATTCTTCAAAGGTCTTGCTATTGAGGTAGAACCTGATTTACTCTGTCTTTCCTTATGAAGTAAAACGAAGGGGAAAAAAACTCCACAACTTCCCCCCCACCCCCCCCCCCCCAACAACACCCAAAAAAAACCACCCCAT